GCCATCATTGTGTTAAGATCCTTTTTAGTGGCTAACACTTTTTCCTGTTCCTCATCAGAGGCGATGTAGATCGTTGGGGGTGAGTCAGACAATAAGTTCATCATCTTGATCTTCTTGAGATGACTGTAAAAGAAGAAAGCCAATATCACGGGATTGTCTCCTGCTGAGCCCGCTAGATGTCTGTGAATGTTTCACCATGTCTCTCTTCAGTAGATTGGTGCATTGTAATCTAAATATTGCTAGAATTCGTTTGCTTAGTTGCTTCGTCAGAGTCCCAATCTTCAGTTTTTATATCAAACCCCCTATCACTCTCAGCCAGTCAGTGTCATCCTTACTGGACAAAACTGACACTGGTAAAGCAGAGGGCTTAATTCAACATTATCGATGTGACGGAGGCTTCTTTGGCCTAAAATTTGAAATGCAATTTGAACTAACTTTAAATTCTCACTTTATTGAATAACCCTATCAGTTTGCACTTAAATAGTTTGATATAAAAATGAAGGAGAATGCCAGGGGAGGGGTCGGAGGAATGGGAGCGGGTGGTGGGGGGCGGCTGTAGGCAAGTTAATCACTACAGCAAGTTGTAGTTACATTGCTTATTTGTCAAACATTTGGTTTAATTAAGTGAGGAATAATAACAGGTATCTAAACATAACAGATGTGTTTTGGCCATGCCAAGCCTTCATCAACCTATATCTTACAGTGATGAAGAAAAGACCAATGTTTTAAAATATTTCTGATTAGTTTACACTCCATATTTGTGATAAGGTCATGAGAATACATCTAAACTAAAGAGGAAAAAAAAACAGGTATATTTTCTGTTGGCTCATGCTAAACAGATTTGAAGATTAAAAATGTCTAAAACTTAGGGTAGCAAGATACATAAATATGAATAAAGAGGTCTTTGTAATAGAATTTCATTTGCTGCCTTGCTTGACATGTAGGCACGGCCAGCCATAGCACTAGTAGGGTTTTGGTCAATAAATATTTACGTGGTCCTTGTGGTTGTTTGTGGCCTCAAAGTTAATAGAAACAGCAAACAAATACATATATACACTGATTTATTTGAAGGAATACCTTCTGCTGAGATTTTTATTTTCATCCAAATTGGCTATAAAATAGGGATAGACCAATAATCGGTTTTGAAGATTATTAGAGACAATATTCAGCATTTTACAGTTAATTGGAATCGGCCTTCAAATTGTGTTGCTTTTTCAAAATTTTAAGTGTACAAATTATCAGCGCCGGTTATAGGCAAGCAGCTCAAAACGTATTACCTGTATCAGCATCTGCTCTGATAAAATTACATCTGTTGATCCCTACTCTAAATTCTTAACTATTTCAAGTTAATTGTCTAGTAATCACATCTCTATTCAATATATAGATGGCAGTGCAGAATATGAGAATATCTTGTAAGTTGATTTAGAGGTCAACAACACAGTTATAGCATAAGAAAAAACAGGAACAATGAGTTCTTAATGCATGGTTTGGGAACTAAAAATAGATCCCAACATTATTTTTCTGCATCATTACTGGGGAAAACAGTTATATTAATAAGGAACCAGACAATTGCCCACAATGAACCAGGGCTCAACAAATCCAAGACACCGGGTCGCCATGGTGACTTGGAATTTTGTCCTGGCGCCTGGGTGTTTGTAAGTCCGTTCAGCACTAATGGAGGCATATTGCTAGAGCCACATAGTAAGAAGATAATTACAAGGTAGGGCCAGCTGGGGACAGTCAGATCTCTTCAGTCTGGGTGCAGCAGCCTACAACAGAAAGGTATCAGCACTGTGAGGTACAGAGCTAGGTACTGCACTAGACTGAAGAGATCAGAAAACTAGGAAGAATACACAGAATTGTGACAGTAATATAATATATGGAGTCAGAATTATATGTACCATAAATTGAAGAATCGGCATTGCAGTCAAAGGTTTTGTGCACCAACTCCACATCCCTGGTTACACTGTCAAATATGGGCCCCAGTCTTCATGCACAGAAATGTACCAAATTTATTTTAATGGCAGTATAGCAGCCCAGAAAAAAAAACTACCCTTCTGATGGCATACCATTTCCAAAAGTAGACAACTTTTTTGGTATTCCAAAAGAGGTATGTACAGTATTTTTTTTTTTTTGTAGCCCCTTATTCACAAAACGTGGCCATATTTAGTGTTCAGAGTTATTTTGCCATTTTCACACAAAAACTGCAACCTCACTGTTTATATCATCATCCTTATACTGCCATAAAACACACTTATTTCTGTTCAACATTGTCTCATAAGAACAATAATGCCACGCATATGCAAGTTTATGTTTTTTTTTTTTAATTACAAGTCTATATATGGGCCCTGCCCATTTCAGTCTTTATATGTGGAATATGACAAATTGATTTCCTAGGACTAGGTCACCTATGAGGATGTATGGCAGCCTAGGAATGAAAGTTTCTACCATCATTGAATACCAATTTAAAAAGCAGACAACCCAGGCTATATCAGAGGCTATACGAATGTCACTATCTGCTATATCAAATGTGTCACTCTCTGATTCATGCATTAGAATTGCACAAGCCTCTTCCACGGTATAACATGTCATGATGTAATAGGAGAATATGTTTTTAAAAAACTGCAATTACCACTGGAATGTTTTTTTTAACCCCTTAATGACACATGACATGTGTGACATGTCATGATTCCCTTTTATTCCAGAAGTTTGGTCTTTAAGGGGTTAAATCAAACAAACATAGTGAGAGACAGAAAGATTCACAGATAAGGTTTATCAGAGAGAGCTCTCTGATGAGACTGAACACAAACTCAGTACAGTGGTCAGACACAGTAGGATAAAGGTTAACAAAAACAAAACAAATGTTAAAATAGACAAAAAAGGTAAAATACCTGAGCAGGAGATTATAATTTATAAAATAAACCCACTGGGTTGTAAAATCTAATTGAAAATAAAGCCATTTTGATTCATGGATGATGAGTCACAGCCAGGGAAGGTTACACCAACAAAAACAAAAGTGATTTAACCCCTTAACCCGTTCAGGACGGAGTCAATAGTACACGTTCTGATCAAAACAAAATGTAAACAAAAACTGGAATTTGCGCTATATGTCTGTTCAACCGTAATTCACCGCTGTCACATTAAGTGCACCCACACTTATATATCATTTTGTTCAGGAGAAAGAGGGTTTTAAGTTCACGTGAACTATTCATATATGAAACATAATTTATTATGAATAAAATAAAAATAAAAGAGAAATTTAATTTTTTTTTTATTATTTGTAGTTCCGCCTCACATTTTAGCACAATACTGTTAGTTTTTACTGCAAAAAAAGCACCTATTTGTATTCAGCAAAGTCTCATGAGTACAACAGTACCCCCATTAACAGATTTTACAGTGTTTTGGGAAGTTACAGGGTCAAATATAGCACATTCAATTTTTCAGGTTTTTCACATTGAAATTTGCTAGATTAGTAATGTTGCCTTTGAGACCGGGTGGTAGCCCAGGAATGAGAATTACCCCCATGATGGCATACCATTTGCAAAAGTAGACTACCCAAGGTATTGCAAGTGGGGTATGTCCAGTCTTTTATAGTAGCCACTTAGTCACAAACACTGGCCAAAGTTAGCATTCATATTTGTTTTTGTGTGAAAAAAGCAAAAAAAAAATATTTGGCCAGTGTTTGTGACTAAGTGGCTACTAAAAATGACTGGACATGCCCCATTTGCAATACCTTGGGTTGTCTACTTTTGCAAATGGTATGCCATCATGGGGGTAATTCTCATTCCTGGGCTACCATACGGTCTCAAAAGGCAACATAACCAATCTGGCAAATTTCAATGTGAAAAAAATAAAATGCAAGCCTTATATTTGACTCTATAACTTTCCAAAACACCATAAAAACTGTACATGGGGGTACTGTTATACTTGGCAGACTTCACTGAACACAAAAAAGGTGTTTTAAAAAAGTAAAACATATTACAACAATAATATTGTCAGTAAAAGTGCAGTTCGTGTGTGAAAAATGCAAAAAACATCACTTTTACTAAAAATATAATTGTTGTAATACAAGTTACTATTTTGAAACACTAATGTTTGTGTTTAGCGAAGTCTCCTGAGTTAAACAGTACCCCCCATGTACATGTTTTATGGTGTCTTGGGAAGTTACAGGGTTAAATAGAGTGCTTGCAATTCAAATTCTCTGCACTTTCTGCCTGGGTTGTCAGGCATGTCAATCAAATTTTAATTCATTAAATCACATAATTATGCTAAAATATTACTTAAATATACACGTAGAATTTTAATATATATACATATATATGTATTTAAAGTCAACGTGTACACTTATGTAGTTATTTATGTAATTATATATATTTGTGTGTATATATATATATATATATATATATTTGCGGTTATTTGTATTTTATATATAGATAGATATATATAGAATGTCATTCTAAATGTGTATTTTGTTACCAATATATATATATTAATAACAAAATACAGTTAGAATGAAATCACATATGTATATATAATTTATTTTAATTTAAAAAATATATATTTTATTTTTTTAAATTATTTTATTTATTTATTGTTGTGTATATATAAATATAAAATATATATAGATGTATTATATAATATATATATATATATATATATATCTTATATATGTAACGTCATTCTAATACTAATTAACATTAAAATTTATTTGGCTAACTAAAAAACATAGTAGTATTAGAACTAAATAAGAAATATGGAGGGGCTGATTTCCCCAACATAGAACTTTATCATAGAGCCTCTTTACTGATGCATATAATGTTGATGCATTTAGACCAATACAAATCCCAGGCAGGGGCGTTTTAGCTGCGAGGCAAACAAGGCATTTGCTTTGGGCGGCATTTTTCAGGGGGCGGCAAAAAATGCCGCCCCCCAAATGCCTTGTTAGCCTTGCGGCTAACTGACATGCCGAGCGGGCGGGCAGCTGGCGAGGGAGCACTTCCTCTGAGCTGTCTGCTCAGCTCCCTCACGCGCCGCACAGTGAGGCTGGGAGCCGGAATATGACGTCATATTCCGGCTCCCAGCCTCACTCTGCGGCGTGCGAGGGAGCTGAGCGGACAGCTCAGAGGAAGTGCTCCCTCGCCAGCCGCCTGCCCAGCCCAGCAGCCACTGGACCACCAGGGAGAGAGGGAACCCCAGCATTCCCAAAGATAAGGAGGGGGGGTTGGTAAATAAAATAAAAAAATTGTTAATGTGAGTGTGTGTGTGTTTGTTAGTGTGTGTGTTTGTTAGTGTGTGTGTGTCTGCTAGTGTGTGTCTGCTAGTGAGTTAGTGTGTGTCTGCTAGTGTGTGTCTGCTAGTGAGTTAGTGTGTGTCTGCTAGTGTGTGTCTGCTAGTGAGTTAGTGTGTGTCTTCTAGTGTGTGTCTGCTAGTGAGTTAGTGTGTGTCTGTTAGTGTGTGTCTGCTAGTGAGTTAGTGTGTGTCTGTTAGTGTGTGTCTGCTAGTGAGTTAGTGTGTCTGTTAGTGTGTGCCTGTTAGTGTGTGTGTGTGTGTCTGACAGTTTGTGTCTGTTAGTGTGTATGTATGTCTGACAGTTTGTGTCTCTTAGTGTGTATGTGTGTGTCTGACTGTGTGTATGTGTGTGTCTGACTGTGTGTGTGTGTGTCTGTTAGTGTGTGTGTCTGACAGTTTGTGTCTCTTAGTGTGTATGTGTGTGTCTGACTGTGTGTATGTGTGTCTGTTAGTGTGTGTCTGACAGTTTGTGTCTGTTAGTGTGTGTGTGTGTCTGACTGTGTGTGTGTGTGTGTGTGTGTGTGGTCTGTTAGAGTATGTGTGTGTGTGTGTGTCTGTTAGCGTGTGTATGCGTAGATCTGTCAGTGAATGTGTGTGTGTATGTATTTAGAGGGAGGGGAAGGGTTGGGGGGGGCTGGCGGGTGCCTGAGTTTTGTCCTGCCTAGGGCAGCACAAAACCAGGATACACCACTGATCCCAGGGATGGTATGAGATGGAAGAGGCGACAATAGCTATGTGGTCAAATAATTGCAGAAGATATAAAAATATACAGAAAGAGAGTCCTATAGATAAACTGATTATAAAAATCTGTTAACCAACTGGAACCTTTTTAAGGAACAGTCAAACTTAAAGAATATGATTTTACCAGCATTGCCTACTTTCTATTTGACGCATATGATGAAAAATTTAGATGTAACAAAGTGGATACAGTTAGGGGTTACAAAGATCTCAATGATCTGGCAGGAAGATTGATCTATAACATTTAGAGATTTGCAACTCCGATACAAGATTCCAGACCAGGAGAAGTTTAACTACATAAGAATTAAAAGCTTTTTTAAATCAACAATATTAAAGGGCAAATTAACTAGTCCATTAGAAATATTAAACAATGTTATTGAACAGGGGAACGATTTAAAGCTATTATCAAAATGTATCAAAGTGATGACTGACTTAAAAGCAAAAAAATGCCCCAAAACTAAAGAAAAATGGGCAACAGATTTAAAAATACAGATAGAAACAACTGACTGGCACACTGCTATTCAATTGACATACTCTCCACTGCATTGTTTGAATATAATGGAGACTCAATATAAAATAATTAATGGATGGTAAATAAAACCCTGGAGACAAAGTAAGATGTACCCACAAAATAATTATAAATGTTGGAGATGCGAACATGATAGGGAAGATGAAATACATAACTGGTGGGAATGCCCAATAATTAAAAGAGGCTAGGACACGATTCTTCCTATAGTTAACAATTTACTTAATTTAAAACTGACATGGTCAGTAGATATGACTCTTCTTCATTTAAAGGACCACTCTAGGCACCTAGACCACTTCAGCTTAATGAAGTGGTCTGGGTGCCAGGTCCAGCTAGGGTTAACCCATTTTCTTTATAAACATAGCAGTTTCAGAGAAACTGCGATGTTTGTAAATGGGTTAATCCTTCCTCCAATTCCTCTAGTGGCTGTCTCATTGACAGCCGCAAGAGGCGCTTGCGTGATTCTCACTGTGAAAATCACAGTGAGAGCATGCAAGTGTCCATAGGAAAGCATTGTAAATGCTTTCCTATGAGACCGGCTGAATGCGCGCGCAGCTCTTGCCGCGCGTGCGCATTCAGCCGAATGGGAGGAACGGAGGAGGATCGGAGGAGGAGAGCTCCCCGCCCAGCGCTGGAAAAATGTAAGTTTTAACCCCTTTCCTCTCCCCAGAGCCGGGCGGGAGGGGGACCCTGAGGGTGGGGGCACCCTCAGGGCACTATAGTGCCAGGAAAACAAGTATGTTTTCCTGGCACTATAGTGGGCCTTTAAACTTACCAAGGATTCCTATATATAAAAAAAATTTTTTGCTACATATACTGATGGCCTTTAAATGCTCCATTGCAAAAAACTGGAAAACAACAAATTAGAGAAAGAGTACTACTCCAATGTAGAATGGAGCGGACAATCACCTCAAATTTCTGTATTAATTACAAAAAATATAAAATATGGGATAATTGGATAACAGTTCTTAATAATCAGATAATTCACCCTTGAAAGGTCAAAAAGAGGTAGAAAGGGCATGGATATTAATTAATACGTTGTTCTGTTTACTCTTTTTTCTACAATTGTCTAGCCAGGTTGAAGATCTGGCATGATAGATAAAAGTATGTGTAATTCATTGGATGCAATAACGTTTTCACTTCATACTTTAAGTAAGCAAGAATGCCAGCTTGATATAGAAGGGAATATATAATTGTTTTATGAAGTTGTAATCATTCTGATAAATGAAATAAAAGAGATATTAAGATAATAATTCTGAATAAATAATTACGGGAGTTATGAGACCCTGAGAAAGAAAGGGAAGATAAGCTAGAAAGAAAAAGGGAGAGAAAAGGGAAAGATAAAGAGAGAGGGAAAGAAAAGGAAGGGGAAAATAGAGAGAAAATGAAAGGAAATAAGAAAAAGAAACCCTGGCCTCTACACAATAATAATTAATTCCTATTTTGCAGTGCTGCCACCGTTAAGATATAGAATTGTTTGTTTATGTGTAGGTTTGTATGAGTCTGCATTAATATTTGGAATAATAAGATACAGTTTTGTATCAATAATATTTTTATTGTCATGTCATATTTTTGTATAATATGGAAACAAATAAAAATAAAATTAAAAAAAAGTTATTTAAAAAAAATCTCTCAAAAAATTGCATTAAGTGCCTTGCCTTTTAAAAATTATAATTCTCTTTTATTCTCTGTCTTTTTAGTATGGATTTGTGAACCATGCGTTGGAGCTGCTAGTAATAAGAAACTATGGTCCTGAAATATGGGAAGATATAAAGTAAGTAAAATCATATACTTTTACTCTTTTTTTTAAGTGGATGTCTGGAAACTCTCACAGTTTGACCATTAGTCTCAGAACTTTGGTTTCACTTATAGGTCTAGGGCCCCAGAGCCAGGTTTTAAACTTCAGTGTCACTGTCATGAGGGGCACTCTGTAATCCAACCTAACACTTAGCTATTATTAATGATATTTATATGTAAATATGATTACATTTATGTGGTTTGATTAAGAAAGCTACAATAATATCCCAGAGATTACAGGATATGTTGCTATTTGAAGGGGACCCCAAACTTCTTATGTTGTTTTGAACATGCATGAAATTTCATCTGTACATGGTGCTAGCAGATTTGCTTGCAGTTAAATAGATTGGGAGAAAATCATATTCATAAATAAGTCTTTTCTCCGGCTTCTCATTCAAATTGTCAGCATAGATTCTATGACAACAATTTTCACTGACAAGGGAGCATCGACAAGCAGGGTAAATCAAAGAAAACCAGAGGAGAAGCTGAGAATGGGCCAGAGTTAGGTTTTACCCTTCAGAGTAACACCCATTTAGACTACATCTTTAATAGAAATAAGTTTGTAACGTGCTAAAACAGCAGCAACAACCTTCCATGGGTGTCTCTTCTTGGCCAGAATAGCGCTTCCAGATGCCTAGGACTTTATTGAAAACAAAAACAGAAAAGTGCAAGTGGAGTATATTCAATGATGAAAAATTGAGCTTCAGCCTAGCTCTGGCTCTGGGGAATAAGCTTAAATGGTACAATCCTTGCTTTGACATGCAGAACTGTTTTCCTCTCTAAAGGGACTCTCCAGTGCCAGGAAAACAAACAAGTCGCTGAAGGGGTTAAAACTCTTTCAGCTACTTACCTGAATCCAGTGCTGATGACCCTCGGCGCTGAGTCAGGCTCCTCCGCCGCCGCCGTCAGCCATTCAATGCATTCCTATGGGGAAAATCTGACGCTGGAGGTCCATGAGGGAGGAAAGACGAGAAGTTCTTTTTTGGATAAGTTGAGCTTAAGGAAGTGGGCAGCCATCCAATTAGAAATAGCAGAGAGGCAGTCAGAGACACTAGTCAAGAGAGGCTGGGAGAGATCACAGGAGGACAGGTAGATTTGCGTGTCATCCGCATAGAAGTGATATTGGAAGCTAAAGGAGCTGATGAGTTTACCAAGGGAGGCAGTATAGATCAAGAACAGTAGGGGATCAAGGACTGAACCTTGGGGGGCACCAACAGAGAGAGGTTAGGAGGAAGAGGCAGAGCCAAGAGACACTAAAAGAACTCTGGGTGAGGTAGGAGGAGCACCAGGAAGAGCAATAACTCATAGACTGAGATTACAGAGGATGAGAAGAAGCTGTTTATGATCAATAGTATCAAGTAGTGGAAAAGTCAAGGAGAATTAGAATAGAGTAGTGACCATGAGATTTTGCAGCGAATAGATCATTTGATACTTTGGCCAGAGCTGTTACAGAGTGCTGAGTGCGGAAACCAGACTGAAGTAGGTCGAGCAGAGAAGTGGACTCAAGGAAGTCTGTCAATCTCACATACACAAGTCTTTCAAGGATCTCGGATGCAAAAGGCAGGACCGATATATGGTGGTAGTTGGACGGAGAGTTAGGGTCAAGGTTGGGCTTTTTTAGAATAGGGGTTACAGTTGCATGTTTGAAGGGTAATGGAAATATGCCAGAGGAGAGGGAGAGATTGATAATTTTAGTGAGAGGCAAAGCAAGATGATACAGAGTACGGATGAGATGTGAAGGAATAGGATCAAGAGAGCAGGTGGTGGGGCGGGA